AAAAAAAAAAAAAGAAGGAAGGAATGAGACTTTCACTGTAAGCATAGTTAAAACTTAGAATAAGCTTTCCAGCTTCTATATTTTGGCAATCAAGTGAAAGAAATCTATACTACAAAGTGGAGTTTCTTTTATAAATGTCAAAATTAGTGAGGTTGGAAAAGAAAATTGGGGGTTAGACAAGATATAAAATCTCTCATGATTCTGTGTACTAATAAGAGAGGTTATGTATAAGTATTGATAAGTGAAAGCTCTTATTTTTTAATTTCATTGACTTTAAACTCATCCTCTGATATAAAAATGGAAATGATATAAACTCTCCTACAAATACTACTTTAGCTACATTACACAAGTTTTTTTTTTAATATTTATTTTTTAGAAGTAGTTGAACACAATACCTTTATTTTATTTATTTTTATGTGATACTGAGGATCAAACCCAAGGCCTCACACATGCTAGACAAGCGCTCTACTGCTGAGCCACAGTTTTGATATACTGTGTTTTCATTACCACTCAGTTGAAAATAGAATTTTCTTTGGAATTTCTTCTTTGATCCATGGGTAATTTATAAATGCATTGCTTAATTCAAAATATCAGTGGTTTTTCCAGACTTCTTTTTGTTATTTTCTAACTTAATTTCATGTAGGTACAGAACATTCTTTGTATGATTCTGACCCAACGTTTGGTATGTTGGTGACTATTCTTGAAAAGAACCTGGGTTTCTGTGGCTGGCAGACATGGTAGTCTGTGTCTCTCAGGTTGAAGTCTTGCTTTCATTTATGTCTTCTGTATTCTTGTACTAAACCTACAACTGTGGGTTTGTCCATTTTTGCCTTCCAGTTGTTTTGTGCATTTTGAAACTCTGTTTTGGATGAATATACATTCAGAATTATGTGTCATCTTAATAATTGATCCTTTATCATGAGGAAATTGACTCCTTTTATCTATGGTCATATTCTTTGTCCTAAAGTCTGTGTTGTCTTATATCAATGTAGTTATTCCAGCTGTTTTACTGTTAGGGTTCATGTAGTGTATTTCCCTCCCTCCCTCCCTCCCTCCCTTCCTTCCTTCCTTCCTTCCTTTTTAAAATGTCTGTGTACCAGGCATGATATCACAACCTATAATCTCAGCTACTTGGCTGAGGCAGGAGGATCATGAGTTCCAGGACAGCCTGGACAACTTAAAAGGGCTAAAGATGTAGCTCCTTGCTGGAGAACTTGCCTAGCATGTGTGAGGCCCTGGGTTCAATCCACAGTGCTGAAAAAAAAATTGTCTTCATATTTAAATCCTATTTCCTGGGGCTGGGGATGTGGCTCAAGCGGTATCGAGCTCGCCTGGCATGCGTGCGGCCCAGGTTCGATCCTCAGCACCACATACCAACAAAGAT